AGCCCACACATGCAGACAAATCATACATATTGTGGGGGGGGGGGCTACGTCCCAGCATTTTCTGGAACTCTACATTTCAAATTCAAATACTTTCTGGAACGCTACTTTTCAAATTCAAATATTTTCTGGCACGTTACATTTCAAATTCAAATATTTTCTCGAACATTACATTTCAAATTCAAATATTTTCTGGCACTCAACATTTCAAATTCACAAATTTTCTGGAACGTAACTTTTGAAATTCAAATATTTTTTGATGAGCTACATTTCAAATTCAAAAATTTTCTGGAACGCTACGTTTCAAATTTAAATATTTTCTGGAACGCTACGTTTCAAATTCAAATATTTCCTGGAACGCTACATTTCAAATTCAAATATTTCCTGGAACGCTACGTTTCAATTTCAGATATTTTTTGGAACGCTACATTTCAAATTCAAATATATGACAGTATAACTAGAATGGTTTCACGAAGTTTGACCGCATCATGGAACGAATAAATTAAATATTTTATGCCTGTTTTTATTTTTGCTACTTGAACACAAAAAATTTTGACTGGGATGTACAGTATATTCGGAAATTTAAAAAAAATACAGATATTGTCAGTTGAATTTGACAAAAGTTCTGAATTCTTGCTGCCGAAATGTGCGTCTGTGGCATCCGTCTTCCTCGAGAAACCTTGGATCTGTCCCCAAAGAGTTATGCTTCAGCTGCTGATGACGGTGCAGCATCTATTAATGACTGTACAGGCCCACACAGGAGTAACACTTACGATTGCAATGACTGCACGTCAAGACGCTCTCCCCGATGTCGCCTTGTTTTTTTTTCTTTCCTTTCTTTTCCTTTCTGTCGAGCAAGGTCTCCCCGTCGGTAAGCCTTCGTTTCTTCTCTCCGATGTAAATTGCGTGAGCGATCGTTGGAGGCGTCTTCCCACATCTCGATGTCCATGTACATCATCCCCATGTTCTTTTTGCAGATGTCCGGCTTTGGTGACACGGTCGGACCAATTGATACTCCAAATGCGTCTCAGACAGAGATGAAAGGCGCTGAAGCGTGTTTCCTGTCTCGAGTAGGCTCCAAGTGTCGCTGCCGTGCAGCAGCACGCTGACGACATATACCCTATAGACTATAATTTTCGTGTTCGTAGTAAGCTTTCTGTTCTCCCAGACTGTCGAGGTCGGCCTAGCAAACGTAGTGGCAGCTCGTACAATCCGTCTGTTGATATGACTGTCGAGGGAGAGGTTCAGAAAATCGCACTGAAGCGGGAAACTGACAGCAAGCATGCAATGTTGATAACTGCCCTCCACAATAATATCATTATATATATATATATATATATACACAATCTATTTCCAATATTGACCACACTCCCCTATGAGCACAGAAAATTGTAAACAATATATATATATATATATATATATATATATATGTGTGTGTGTGTGTGTGTGTGTGTGTGTATGTCATATATTAAGAAATGGACAAAGTCCGACAATTTATTTATTAAAGACATAAAATATTTTTATGTATGTATGTATGTATGTATGTATGTATGTATATATATATATATATATATATATATATATATAAATTATTTGAATATCACTTCTCATATATCTATATATATATACATACAGAAAAAACACACACAAATACACACACACACACATATATATATATATCTATATATAATTTATATATATAAATTATTCTGAATATCAATTCTCACACATATATATACACATAAGACAAAAAACACACACGTACACACAGACACACACACACGTGCACACAGACACACACACATATATATATATATATATATATATATATATATACAATCTATTTCCAATATTGACCACACTCCCCTATAAGCACAGAAAATTGTAAACAATATATATATATATATATATATATATATATATATATATATATATATATATATATACTGGTTTAACAGAAAACAAGTTTCAAATCGTTTAAAAATTGTCCGTTTAGTTAGATTAAATTTGAACCATTGTAAAAAAGAAATGATTAAAGATATCTTACTGGAATTCTCTGAGATTTTTATAACACTATTAGCCTCTACTTTGAGCAATAAGAATGTATAATTACTCTCCAAGCTTAACGGAAGAATCGTAATGAAATGGATCATAAACGAAAATGACATGTTCATCAATAATTAATCATAGCCAATTATATATATATATATATATATATATATATATAATATTCCAGGATCATTTTCCAAAATATTCAAGATGAACTCTAACCATCTCACTTTCTGTCTTGGAGTAAAAAGTTGTTTCACAAGTTTCATGTACGATTTCATTTTCAAGTGCTTTTCTCCCCTGTTCTTTGGACCGTCATAGGTGAAACTCCTCTCTCACGTGCGTTCGTCTTTCGCATTGAGTTGGATCTTTTCTAATTGATCTCTTTAGCTCCTAAGTTGAAATGATGATGCCTCTTCTTCTTGTGACCTCCTCATCAAGATTACCTCTCTAC